TCCTAAGGCCCAGGCGGCAGCAGCCTTAACATGATCCTCTGGCTCTTCTGAGAGGCAGACTGACAACTGGGGTATACCCTGCAGCAGTGATTAAAAGAGCAAGTGTTATAAAGCTAGAGCAGGATTAAAGAGTCTTCCGTGTCTCTCAAACATTAGAAGAAATCATTTCAGCCTTGATCCTTTTTTTCCTAAATGGTACAATAAATGAGTATATCATGGGCTGTCATTTCTTAAGTCAATAAAATACCTAGAACTAAATTACCTTAATTATCTGTAACAACCTGACTTAACTAAGAAATCTCTACTAGCTTTTACCCCCTGGATAGAGGGACATCTAACCAAATGACAGATGGCATAGACTAGGCAAAACCATATTCCACTGTGACAAACTAAAAGTATTTGGGATCTTAAAATGTTTCATTTTCCTTTGTTTAAAAAGTTAATTTAGAATCTTTAAAGGGATTACCTTTCATAAAGTATAATCTGAGAACAAAATAACTAATACAGACTCAAAATCAAATAATCCTAAGTACATTTTAGCTGAAATATATTCACTAATACCATTCCTTAAATAGTGTGTTTCCATTAATTTTGGTTGAATTTTAAATTATAGTTTGCGCATTTTAATATCAAATGTCAAAGTAGAAATGCTTAATAACGTGTATTTACATTTTACATCTTAAGCTTCAAGTTTATCTGAACAATAAAATAACCCAAATCAAATTCTAATTCCAGATTCTGTAGAGTTATAATTTTCTAATTTGAGACTATTGTAATCACCTCAAACCTTGCACCACAAAAATCAGTGTCACAGGGTCATGCTACCATAGCAAGGGCCCAAATCATATACTTTTCACCTCCACTTTTTTTTTTTGGTTTTTTTTTGGTACCAGGGATTGAACGCGGGTCCTTGCACTTGCGCAACGGGCGGCGAAGCCACTGAGCTAAATCCCCGGCCCTCCACCTTTTAATTTAATCCAGAAGAAACCTACCATAATTTTTCTTGCCTCCTTTCCTACAACTAAAATATATATCTGCCATACAAAAGGTCAGGCTTGTCTTCAGAATGAAGTAACTTTCTAGAAAGCGCATACTTCTAGGACGTAATAAGACTGAAGAAGCAGTAGGTAAAGCAAGACAGCCCCTCCACCCTGACCCCAAAGCTCAGCCTTCCTGGCTTCAGTTTGTTATGATTAGCAAATAAGATAAGCAACATGAATGTGCTTCAAAAATTAGTGTCATTTTGGAGTGTAAGGTATTATGATTAGTCCCCAAAGTACTACAGAGCAAAAGGAGTGAATGGTACCTACCCTGCTGTGGTTTGCGTCAGACTGCTGAGACCGCTGCTGCCACTGTGACCTCCAACTAACTGAAAACCCAGATGGGAGCGGCCAGCAGCAAGCCCAGACCAAAGAAGGGGGGCCCTCCTGCTTAGGGTGAGCAGGACGCGTGGGAGGCACAAGCAAGTACTGCTCCTCTCACCATGCTTCCTCCGGAGTACCTTTCTGACTCGCTACAAAATTAGGGTCAAAACTCCCTTGCAGTGAGCCTTCCAAAAGCACCAGTGCTGCTCCAGTCACTGTGACAGCCTGTGGTAACGGAAGAGCAAAAGGACAGCATAAAAGAGCAAGCATTATAAATCTAGAGTAGGATAAAAGGGACGGAAGCAAAGAATACCGGAATTGGTGGAAAATAAAAGATCTGAGGCTCCCTTTTCTTCTGAGGATTAGCAGGGGATTGTAAAAAACCCCATATTTCTGTTTAACATATAGCAGCAGGTTTTCCGTGCTGACAAGCCACACCCGAGAGGGTCCCACACACGTACGCAAGCACGCAGCGCTTTAGACACGTTCTTCAGGAGATCAGTATGCATTCCTCAATGCATGCTCGGTGAGCACCTGCTATGTATGACGGCCTTGTCATATGGTGCGTTCATATGAAGTTGTAAATTGAGATGAAACAAAATTTGTAGGAAACAAAATTCTGTTATCTGATGTGTGTTCTGACTGCCTACATCTAAGAGAAATCAGTCTGAAATCTGAATGAAAGAAGGTAGATAAAAGGATATCCTCGCCATTGCCATCTCCTCCCCAAATGCCAGGAAAGGCAGGAATGTACAGACCTCTGAGCATGGTGAAAATGACTACTGGGCATGTCATTTAAATATTCGTTTTTAACCAAACTCTGCTTTACATGTTTATAAGTATGCACAACTGATTCTTTAAGATACAAACATACTTAATATTTAAATATAGATAATAGTGATTGCTTTGAGAAATTTTACTAATAGCAACAGAATGAGCATTGAAACAACTGAAAATCCTTTCAGGTAATTCTTTTGCTCCAGCCAGTTATATTTCATAATCCTTTGGGGGAGCATCATCAACCTGGTGTTCTTAGAGTATCTTACTGCAGTAACTAGAGAAATGAAGCAAGAACGCAAGTTGGAGATGATCACTGCCTCTGCCAGGTTCTCGGGTTGAACGGCCGCGTGGGCGAGCGTCAAGATGCCAGGCAGCCATGTGTTCCCTCTGCAGTCGGTCACTGCGGACTCCCCTCCCGTGCTAACGATCAGCTGCGAAAGCTGGGCGCCAAGAGCAAGAGCGAAATAATCGGCACAGAAAGCCTAAGATGATCGTTCATGTGGCCATATTTTATTTAAGACCCAAAAACTGGTAAATTTGAAATATTTAGGAAAATTATATTTATTAAAAAAAATATAAAAATATCCTGCCATTTCAAATACACAAATACACTCGCTGTGAGAGGCTTTAGTTACTCCGTGATTGAATTTTTCATGCATCAGTAGCACAACTTTTATCCCTGGTATAATGGGTGTCAAAATTCCTCACCTAGATACTAAGCTCTAAGGCTAGTTCATAACTAGCTAACCACTGAACCCCAATCACAATGTGTATGAAGCAGGTTAATCACTGAATGCAAAAACACAATGTCAGACTGGAAATATGTTAACCTAATTACCCGCCTCCCCTTGGTAGCAATGATTACTAGCTGAGTGCACTATCACTTGGAAAAACCCCAACCAAAAAAAGATGTTAGCGGGAATAAAAACTGAGGACTTTAACATATAATGAAATGAAATGAAATTGATTAGTCTAAATATATGCAGAAAAGACACTGCTTCAGAATCAACGCTGGCTTGCTTGGTCTCTTCACCTAAGAACTCAGAGCTGAAGCTTGCTGTGTAAGACCAGCTCCTAGAATGCTCGTACAGGCCGGATCTCTGTGTCTGTCTCAATCTGGAGGAGTAATTTCCTCACTACTCCCGGCTGACATAAAATGATAAGGATTACAGAGGTCCACAGTGTAGAAATGGGAAGCTGGAAGTGATTGGAAACAACTGAGGTTTTAACTCAAACTCCATTAATCTAACCCGGTGGTTCTCAACAGAGGGGAATTTTGTGCACTAGGGAACATCTGCAATGTGCGGAGACATTTCTGATTGTCACCTCTTGGGGGAGGGGTGCTACTGGCATCTAGCGAGCAGGGATGCTGCTAAGGGACGATTCTGCAGTGCGTAGAAAAGCTCGACACCCAGTTACCTGGTCCATAATGCGCTTACTACTGACGATGAGAGAGCCCGACTTAGCCAGACCATGTAGCAAAACCTGCAGCCTCAAAACAAACTGATGCTTTATTTAGCAACTAAAATTATGTATTATTGTATCTTGAAGCTTTTTAAAAATCTTTTTCACCTCGGGTATATGTTTTGCAATCTCTTTAAAGTGCAAGCACTTTTCACATTTTCATCTTTGTCCTTCAAACAGGTAAGTGCAACTGGAAAAAATCTCTGCTTCAAGAAAAGGAAAAAAAATGGAAACAAAGTCTTTGCAAATAGGGAAGGCTGGAGCGGGTGAAGGGAGGGCAGGGAAAGGGGGAAAAAATAAGAACCAAGATACTCATGTAATGGTACCAGATCCCAATGATGTATGTAAATGTATTTTATACCTAAAATGTACCAATAAACTTAATGGCGGGGGGAGAAAAATCTCTGCTTCAACAACCATTTCTGCCAGATCCATAGAATGTTTTGCAATCTGAGAGCTGAAAGGACCTGATCCTGTTAAGCAGAAAACAAAACATTACTATGTAGAGCCCACTAGTTCACTAGAGTTCAGATGAAATTTAAACAGCTTTATACATATTCAAAGTCCTTTGTAAAAAGGAAGATGTCTAACAGAACAATTCCAAGTTTTCAGGCTTTTACAACCTAGTCTCATATTCATTTTTTTTTTAAATTTCCTAATTTCCAAATTAGTTCTATTTAAAAACTGTACTGCAGATGATTAAATATGACCATTGGACATGAACACTATCTCTTAATCGTGTGATACTTAATTTATGATACATGTGGTAATTTAGTACAAAAATGATTAAGCAGAACATTTATTTTTAGCATGATACTGACACCATTACAAAGAACTTTCCCCCTAGGGCTGGGGATTTAGCTCAGTGGTTTCACTGCCTGCTGCGCAAGAGCAAGGACCCAGAGTTCGATCCCCGGTACAAAAAACAAAACAAAACAAAGAACTTTCCCATTTCTTAGTTAACATTAACAATTTTATAGAATATAGTTGTTAGAATGCAAAAGCATAATTGATTACTAGTAACTGAAAAATCAAGATTTTACAAAAAGACTAATATAAATAAGATCAATTTCATGAGACACTTGCATATTTATAGTGGTGGGCTACAAAATCTTTAGTTCCCTTCCAATTCTGAGATTTGATTCCTTACTTTAATTGTTGATGTTAATATTGATGCTACTTTTAATTTTCAACATTGCACATAATTTTCTCAATCACATCTTCATTGTCTAGTTCTTACAGCTTTATTTTCATATTTAAAAGATCGGTGACATGTTTGTGTGTTTTAAATGATGATTTACTAATTGTTTTTAGCTATATAATGAGTCTGTACCCATTTCCATTGTTAGATTGTAAGGAGGCTGGTTTGCCACTTCACGATTTGTAAAATACCTTCAATTGAGCATCAGGGTTGAGCAATAGCTCCTGTGTCCACTACTGTCTGCGCTAGCTCTGGAGAATGCTTTGAAATGTCACTGAGGATCCGAAGCAGCAATCCTTTTCAAAGCGATTTCTGGCTCCTGGATACAGAGTGAGTACTAAAAGAGGAACAGCTCCCGCATCCACCACAGCTTGTGACAGTTCTGTGGGTCCAAGAAAAGTAATTAAGTGAGTATGGGTGACTGACCCTTGTGCAAGCCATTTTTCACCCTGACAGATACAGCAAAGAAAAAAGGGGAGGGTGTACTTCAGTCTCTTGACATCTGCATTTCAAATCAGTCTTCCTGGTTTCATAAACCATGTGGACCAATCCTGAGCTGAAAAGAACACAGGTCAATAGATGGACCTCCATTTACATGAGCACATTTGAGGTAGATTAGGCTGAAATGGCTTGTTATTCTTTTTTTTTTTTTTTAAGAGAGTAAGCAGATGTCAGCTGTTTAAGCTCTGACAATTCTGCACTTCTCAATAGGCGAGCATTTTATGCATGGTTTACAATAACAGAGAAAATTAAAGTAACAAAAATTTACCAACCACACTAATTAGGTAGTATTTTGTGCTATTTACGTGAGTAAACATTAACATGAATCTTGTGCCAATAATGTCGATTTTTAAGTTCCCTTAATCTTACAATACTTTTAAAGATTTTTTAAAACACCATACAAAATAAAAAGCTGTGTTTTCATTGTGCATTAAAACTTTCAAAAATGATATTTGCAAGAGAGCAACATACTTTAATATATAAATGTTAATGTTTAGATAAAGGAATAAATTCCATGTTCCATGTCAGAAATCAAGTAAATATCTTTTGAATACACAAGTTGATTTACTTATGTGCCCAAGAATAACAGTACAAAAATAACACATTTTAAATTAGAGAAGGGGAGACAAGCAGACTGGCCCATATATGTGTAAAGAAATCTCTTCTAAAAAGCACAGAGCACCATACAGAGCTCTAGATCTTACTCTCACTGTGTCCCTGCCCTCTCTTGTAGAATCATGCACCCCATTTCTATAATCTCTTCTATATTATGTCCTCCTTTTCCCAGATTTGTAGTGCCAGGCCATAGATACATGTCTTGTCAAGCTAAAACAGCTATTTACATGTCACTGTAAGTCTTTAATTCAAAGAAATGCAATGTTTCATTTTTCAAAAGACTGACAGTATCACATTTTTTAAAATATCACATTTTCTATGAAACAGTATTAGCAATAAGTTAGTGTTCACAATGTGTTTCCCTTGAATTACTGTGATTATCTTAGAAGTCTCTCTATCAATATAAGCAGTCTGTCCATTCTTTCATTAAACAAGTGTTAAGGGAAGGCTGCTGTGTACCAGGCTCACGCAAGGCTAGTCCCAGTGACACACTGCTGCAGCACTAGTCCGTGACCAAATGAATCCTATTTTTTAAATCTAGTGGCAAATATTTCATACAATGAGAATTTCACATGTAACCTGAAGAACCACAGCCAGATAAGAGGAAAATGGTGGAGCATTTAAGAGGACAACAGCAGAAAGACTGCAGTATCAGCCTGGCAAGGTAACAGGCTCGTCAGAAGCAATCTCTGCTTTGATGCTCCATTAGCCTGAAGATTGACAGGGCAGCAGGCAAAATGTTTCTCTCCCCAACCTGGGAAGAAAATAGAGGGTTCAAGTAATGTTTAAGTACAATCCTCATTTTCTGTTAATTATTAACATGTCCCTTAAGAATTCAATTCAACTCGAACAATACAGATGTGGTATGCTAATATCAACTTTGTGTACCTACTGCAATATTATGGGCTGAACATTTTGTTTTGAGAGCATAAGGATGAATTTATTCAACCACTTTACTATCTACAGAGTTTCTATGAGTAAAGAATCTGCAGTAAACTACAACTGTTTAAAAGCACTATTAACAGGGCCGGGGATTAAGCTAAGTGGTTCTGCCACCTGCCTTGCAAGCACAAGGTCCCAAGTTTGATCCCTGTAACCAAAAAAAAAAAAGCACTATTAACAAAAGCTCAAGGTTCTTTATAAAAACATCTGTTATCTTCGTAAATCTCATACCCTGTGTGTGTGTGTGTGTGTGTGTGTGTGTGTGTGTGCGCGCGCGCGCGCGTGTGTCCCTGGGGACTGGACCTAGGGTCTCTGCACTGAGCTACACCCGGAACCCTCTTAATTTTCTGAGGCAGGGTCTCACTAGGTCACCAAGTTGCCCTGGCTGAGCTCAGACTTGTGGTCCTCCTGCCTCAGCCTCTCAGAGTGCTGGGTTACAGCAAAGACACCACACTTTGCCATAACTCCAAATGACTGCTAGTGTGCCATATGCTTTCACTGAACACGGCAATGCTAACAATAAAGCAAACTGTTCTCTCAGCTTGTTACCCAATCCCATCCTAAGCCATTTTCTATTCTCTCCAGAGAAGTGATGTTAAATGAGAAGAATGGGGATGGTCCCGAAGAAAACTTTGACATGAAAGTAATATTGTTTCCCAGGACCAGAACTGGGCTCAGTAATTTTGTACTTGTAATTTCATGTCTCTAAATCTCCCAATGTAGACCGGTCTGACAGAGTCAGAGTCCGCTCTTGAGTGGCACACATTGTTCCTTAGAAATAATAGGCCAGGGATGTAGCTCAGTGGTGCTGCTGCCTGCCTCACAAGTGCAAGGTCCTAAATTCGATCCCTGGTACCAAATAAAATACTGCTCCACTACCTTCATACGTGTGTTAGATATGAGGTAGTATGTACAATCATACGTTGACACTGGGCTGCTCTGAAACTCATCAAATTTAGTTCTTGGTGTATTTTGATGTGAAAAATTTTTCTCAAGTTGTCATTTGATACTTGATGTGCAAGGTGGAACTTGGTAGAGTTGCCTCCTGACTCACCACCTTTCCAGCCAAAACATTGTTTTGGTACTGACCATGCCTCCTAGGCCCAAGCAACCATGAGTACCAAGGTACCACTGTGTCCAGTAACAGCGCAGTAGGCTCTGTCAATACTGCTTCCTCTGGTGTTTCTGTACCAGTCATTCTTGGTGTCTGTCTGGTAGCCTTGGCCAGCGAGGGCACAGGCGTGGGAGCCCCTCCTTGTCAGGCCAATGGGACCTGAGTGGAGGTCAGCGGGAAACATCTGTGAAAGGTTTTTCGGTAATAAACTGAGATTCACAGGAGAAAATACTGCCTTTTCTGTGTTGGACATGGTCTTGTCTGCTTGTCTGCAAATGACATCTGGAACTCCTACATCCATCTTCCAACTATACCAGAAGAAATCACCAATACACTAAGGATGGTGGAGTACAAAAATAAGAAACATCTGGGTCCTCTCTAGCCAAACTTGGAACTGCTCCGACTCTGAACTGTGTGTCATGTGAAATAAAAGATGTCCTTATTATTTAAGCCACTTGTAGTTGATACTCTTTCAGTTGAAAACATCCCAACATAATTCTTTGCTTTCTGGTGCATGGTGTTTGTACACATTTTCCTCTCTTCCTTCACTCACTGAGTGTTCATAAAGGGCTATGTGCTGGAAACCTGGCTAGACTTTGGGGACACGGAAGACCGTAAAAGGTTGTTCTGTTCTAGAAGACCCCCAAGCAAGGTGAAGGTCTGAACAGACCATACCACAAGCACAGCAGAGCTAACAGTCAAGTAAATATGTGAGTGGGGAGCTGACTCTGTCTGTGGCATGTTCGGGGAAGGGTACCGAGGCACCGCTTCAGGAGGTGCTTCCCACCATGCCCGCTTTTTTTTTTTCTTAGTTTTCTACCCCCCGCAAAAAGCAATGGGAAACAAAACACTTAATTCTGCACATCCAAAAACTTCCCAAAGAACTCTTACAAAGCTCATTTAAAACACTAATTTGGAAATAAATTTTGGGGTGTTAAGGATTGATATGTACAGACTTAAATGCTCATAGAAGGTTGACCAAGAAAAGCAATAAGCTAAAATTATCTTCACTACTTTAAATATTTTAGCCTCATTTAAATTTTAAATCTTCAGAATTAGCTTTGAAAAAATATGTTAGGCAATATGTGACAATCTTACACTGTAAATAACAAGCAAGATTAAAAAGTGGCTATAACTATGTTTAAAAATGCAAACATACAATATTTTTTTTGGTACCGGGGATCGAACTTGGGACCTTGCACTTGTGAGGCAGGCGGCAGAACCACTGAGCTAAATTCCCGGCCTGTAACACAATATTTATACTAGGATAGCACTATTGGTGATATAATTTTCTCTTTTTGCCAATTTTCTTCAATGTAGTTATTTCAAAACATATCTTCTGTTCATATTTATAGCTACTACTGAGACCAACTATACTAACATTATTATAAAGAAAAATATATAAAATTTCTAGCTTATTCCTCAATGAAGCAGAAAGTTTATTTTAAAAATGGTGAGGTGTCTCCATATAAAATACTAGAAAAGAGTATATCATTATTCTTTGAAGAATTCCTGCTATATACTAGAAATGTTTACTTTTTCATACTTTAGCTACTGCCATTATTCATACTCTTATCACATTGAAGATAAAATGTTACATTGTTAAATGTGAGAGGTTATTTTTAATCAGCTTTAGATGGCAAGTTGTCAAGACAATAAAATTACCCAATAGTATTTCATTTATTCACAAATATCACAGCCATTTATTGCACAAATGGAGACAACTGAATGTCCCCAAACTGGTTGGACAGCTGTCTTCTGTAAAAGAATAGCCGTTTCTGCTTGGCCTCATGAACAGCTCACTGTGAGCAAAGGAACGGGGGCAGCCGCCTCCACGGACTGACAAGCCGGGAGATGTCATCTTGGACATCTCTGCATCTCAGTTTTCCTATAATTCTAACAAATTAGAGGTGATGTGCATGCAATTTTTAAAAATAACAGTAACGTGAAACTCTGGGGTGACAAGTGCTAGATTTTCTTACATTGCATTCTCCCATACAGTTGCACTTTTAAAATTTCATTCTGTACTGTTCTTGGGTGTCTGTTTGGCTTTTTACTAACTAAAGACTGAACTTACACTGATCTCTCACTAATAGATGGGAAGTGTTGTGACTTAAACGGATTAAAACCTTCACCTTAATCAAAAGCCTCAGTATAACTTTAAACTTAAAAGGGCGTAAATAAAAAGGACTTTTAAGATTAAAAGCGTC